AGCCCTGCGGGGGGACAGCAGCTCTGCCCGGGGACAGGCGACACTGGGACCCCCTGCTTGGGGACACCCCCGACACCGGGACCCCGTCCCTGGGGTCTCCCCAGCACCGGTGCCCCCCTGCTCCACGATCAGGGGACCCCCCTGTGTCCCCAGACCCCACTGCTCTGTGACACCCCCGGCCCGGGTGTCCCTGGGACCTCCGCCACTGTCCCTGAGCCCCCCCAGTGTCCCTGGGACTCCCCCAGCCCAGCCCAGGCACCGTCCCCACCCCAAAGCCACCCTGTCCCCGGACCCCCCATGGGCCCCCTCTCTGGGACCCCCTGCTCTGGGGCCACCCCACTGTCCCGGGACCCCCCCGGGACCCCACCCGTGTCCCTGGGATGCCCCCGGGACCCCTTTGCAACCCCGCCCTGGGGCCCCTCCCCACCTTTCCCTGGGTTTTGCCCCCCCACCCGTTCCCACTTCTCCTTCTATAAATGCACGTAAAAAAATAATTTGGATTCTGCTAATTACAGGACAATTAAAACCCAATAGAGTCACTCAGGTGGGGGCCCCCAGAGCCCCCCTGATGTTTCCCACTCCCCTCTGGGTGTTCCCTGAGCTCCCAATCCCGGGGCAGTGGGAGGATCCTCAGGGGGGATTTTTGGGGAGCTGAGTCCCTGCTCCCCAGCCCGAGGTTCGGCTCCATTTTAGGCTGAATTTGGCTGTTTTTCCCTCCTTTGTCCCAGTAGCCCCCTTGCCCCCCGAGCCCCTCGCGGGCTGTATTTTGAAGGTAAATGAGGGGGTTTAGGAGAGTCCGAGTGTATTTTCAGGCCCTTGACAGGAAAGGAGGAGTTCCACGCGTGTGGAAATGGCTCATTCCCATCCCATCGCAGCTCGGCCGCAGCCACGCCGCCCCAGGGGTGACCAGAGCCCCGAATGAGAGCGGAGCCGCTCCAGGGACACCGGGCCGGTGTGCGGAGGTCACCGGCACGGCCCCGCCCTCTGATCCCACTGCCGTCCCGGGTTTTTGAGCAGGGAAACTGAGGCCGGTTCAGCTGTCGAGTGATTCCCGAAGGTTTCCCCCTCCCATCCATCCCTGGGTACCCCCCAGGTGTCCCAAACACCACCTCGGGCTCCCCCAGCTAATCCTGAGTGCTCCCAGCTGCCCCCAGACCCTCCGATCTCCCCCTGGATCTCCCCAGTCTGCCCCAGATCCCCCCCCCCCCACCCCAGGCTGACCCCAGCGTGCCCCAGTTCACTCCTTGACCCATTCCAGTGCACCCCCCTACCCCAGCCCCTTCCACCTGCCCCAGTCCCTCCCCATCTGTCCCTGATCGCCCCCGAGTCTGTCTCAGGTCCCCCCCTGTGCGTTCCCATCCGGCTCCCCCCATTTAACCCACGGCCCACCTCATCTACCCCACCCCCCCTTACGCCCCCCAGTTCTCCCCTCACCAACCCCAAGGTCCCCCAGTCTGCCCCAGACCCCTCCCAAATGTCCCCGCGGTCTCCCTCATCCACCCCACGTCACCCCCCATCTATCCCCGGCTCCCCCACATGTCCCCACGTGTCCCCCACGCTCCTCCCCATCCACCCCAGGGTCCTCTCCATTTTCCCAGACCCCCCTTTCCATCTGTCCCCCAAGGTCCCCACACCTACCCCAGGGTCCCCCAGTCTGCCCCAGACGCCCCCCCCCATACGTCCAGGTCTCTCCCACCTCCCCCAGGTCCCCCCTTCTGCCCCAAGTCTCCCCCAAACTCCCCCCAACCACTGCAGGACCCCTCGATCTCCCCCAGCGCCCCTGGGTGCCCCCCGGGCTCCTCCCCCGTCCCCTCCCGCTGTCCCCGGGCCGTGCGGGGCCGGGCCGGGCCGGGCCGGGGCGGGGCGGCGGCGGCCCCGCACCCAGCGCCCGCACCCACCGCCCGCCTCCCGCGGGCGGCGGCAACAAAGGCCCTTCCCCGCCCCCGCCGCCGCCTCCCGCCGCCGCCGGCAGCGTCCTTGCGGCAGGAAGATGCCCGGGGAGGTGCCGCCGCCGGCGCCCCGGGGGCTGCGGAGCCTCCCGCTGCTGCTGCTGCTGCTGCTCGGCGCCCGCGCCGCGCTGGTGAGTGCGGGGCACCGGCGGGGCCGGGGGACACCGGCACCGAGCGGGGGCGAGGGGAGGGACCGGCCCCGGCACCGGGAGGGGGCGGCGGGGACCGGCGGCGGGGACCGGCGGCGGGCGGCTCCGGCCCCGCGGATGAGCTGCTGTGGGCAGCGGGGTGGGACCGGCCCCGGCATCGCGCGTGGATCGGTACCGCGGGGGACGCGGCTGTGCCGGAACCGTGCCCGGGCCGGCCCCGGGCAGCGGCACCGGTCCGGAACCGGCCTCGGTACCGTGCGTGGATCGGCAGCGGGCGGCGTGCGGCCGGCAGCTGTACCGGGGGGGACCGGCCCCGTGCGGGCTCTGGCAGCGGCAGCGGGCGGGGGCGGCACCCCCGGGACCGGGACCGGCTTGCGGGGTCTCCGGGGCCCGCGCCCCTCCGTGGGGTCCCCCAGCTCCCGAGGGGCTCCGCTCCCCGCACCTGCCCCGCGGCAGCCCCTCGGTGCCCGCAGAGCCCCCCGAGCCCAGCGGCGCTGCCCCGGGGCCGTCCCCTCCCCTACGACCCCCGGGCGGTGCCGTCAGGGTGGCGGCCGTGGGGAGGGGGCTGCGGGCAGCTGCCGCTTGAAGGTCGTAGGGAAACACGCCTTGAAATCCATCCTGAGGGGCGGAGAGGGAGGAACCCCCCTGCTGCTGCTCGGGGGCACCAGGAACTTGTCCCCCCAGCCCTCCCCTCCCCTCCTGCACCCCCAGCCCCGATGGGGCGGGGGGCGGCAGAGGCAGCGCCCGCGCCTCCCCGTCCATGTGGCCGGAGGAGAAGGGGCCGGGGGGGCTCGTGGCACTTGCAAAGCTGCTGCTCCCCCCGGGATCTGTGGATCCAAGGGATCCTGGGCTCCAGGGAGCCTCCCTGCCCCGCCTGCTCGCTGCCCCGAGCCGGGCGTTGGAGTTTGGGGGATCGGGGCGCTGCTCTCTGGGGGATGCTCTCCGGGAAGGAGCCCGAGGATGCTTTTCCCTCCCAGCCCGCGAGCAACGGGAGAGGCTGGTGGGGAGGAAGGCTGCTCATCCTCCTCCTCTCTTGAAGAGGAGAAGCCCCAGGGCCTGGCTGCTGCATTGAATCACCCGGAGCTCATCCCCGTCCTCCCGGGGCTCCGGTCTGGGGGTGCTCCGGGCTGGCTCCCCCATTTCTGCACCAGGAGCGTTCTCCCGGCCCTCCGGCAGCGGGTCGGCCCCTCTGGAGCAGAGACAACTTCAGCGTCTCTGAGGGGACGTGAGACACTCCTCCAGCGCCTCTGGCGAATTTGCACGGCCGCTGGATCCAAGGGCACTTTGCCCAGCCCGATATTCCCTCTGCCATGGATCCAGGGACGGCTCTGCCCCGCTGGGAGCTCCCCCCGTGCCCGGTGGCCGCGGTGCTGAGCGGTGAGCGTGGCTCTGCCGCTGTCCCCGGCACCCCTGGCAGTGTGGGGCGGCTCTGGGGGTGCTCATCCCCCCACATGAGCTTTTCCCCTTTGCTTTTGGGGAATTGGAGCTACTGGTTGCTGGATGTTGCTGGTCGCTGGATGTTGCTGGTCACTGGATGTTGCTGGTTACTGGATGTTGCTGGTCACTGGAGTTGCTGGTTACTGGATGTTGCTGGTTACTGGAGCTGCTGGTCGCTGGATGTTGCTGGTCACTGGAGTTGCTGGTCGCTGGAGTTGCTGGTCACTGGAGCTGCTGGTCGCTGCTGGCGTTCCCTGGGAGATGTGGCCGCTCAGGAGAGGCTGTGGGGTTGTTCAGTGCCGGGCTGGAGGTGATGGGATGTGGGATGCACCCAAGGGCTGGAGGAGCTGCTGCCTCCACCTGGATGGGTCCAGGCCTCTCCTCTGCCCCTCGCTTCCCCTCAGTGTTTCGTTCTCCTTGGACAGACTCAGCTCCTCCCCTGGGCCACCGGGAGGGAAGCGGTGCCTTGGCACAGCTCTGGCACATCCGTGACGATGGGATGGGGATGGATTTGGGGATTCCCGTTCCCCCAGTGCCGGCTCCTGGGCCCTGCCAGGGAACCTTTCCCGGGAGCGATTCGGGAGCTCTGAGGAGCCGGGATGAGCAGCAGCAGCCCCGCAGGCACCGGCAGCTCCCGGGGCTGAGCCGGGGCAGGACGGGGATGGGGACAGGGCCCTGGCGTGGCTGTGACACTCCCGGGACTCGATGCCTCCCTTTGATCTCCTGCAGTCCGTGACCCCTCTCACCCGGCCTTTGGGAAGCTGGGATGGATCCCCTTGGGACCAGTCCCAGTAACCCTTTATGTGCCAGCGTGGCGGAGCTGGGGGACAGAGGCTGCTTCTCCTGGCGAGCCCGGTCTCTGGCAGAGGGGTTTTCCCAAGCGTGCCGCGGACAGGTTTGGGTTTGGCTGTGATTTCCCGAGGCTCACGAGCTCATCCCTGGTCCCCTTTGGAGCTGGATATGGACCCCGCAGAGAGGAGGGAGACCCAGGCTCAGCCCTGTGGACACCCCGGATTCCCAGGGGGGGCTCCCCTCCGTGCCGGGGGTGGGTGCAGCGAGCCCTGGGTGCCACCCTGAGCTCTGGGGTCCCCACGGTGGGGTCAGGCTGCTTTGCTGTGGCCGCGGCTGCTGTCGGAGCCCAGCTTAGGGATCAGCTCATTACGTTAATTACCGAGAGCGGTGATTGGCCCGAACCTTTCCCAGGTGCCTGGAGCGTTGCTGGGGTGGCTCTGGGGCCGGCCAGGTCCTGGCTCCCCGTGCAGCAGACCGGGGCATGCTCTGGATTTACTCCTGCCTTGTTTCACTGTGGAAGGGATCCCCTTGCTCCCTGGCACACCCCGGATCCTCCCTTGGCTCAGTCCCGAGGGATAATGAGGGGCACAGCACCCAGAGGGGTTTTGGGTTGGGGCCCCCCTTTCCCCCCGGGGTTTTGGGGGGTTCAGCCTCCCCACAGCTCCGGGTCCCGCCAGGGCTGGGGGTTCACAGGACTCCCTCATTCCCGTGATGATTTCCAGTGCTTCGGGCTCTCCCTGGTTTCCAGCCTGGCCCCAGGCCCTGGGGCAGGGTCTCTGCTGGGCTTTGGGGTGCTGTGGGGTTTGGGGGTGCTCTGGGTTTGGTGTATTGGGTTTGCAGGGCTCAGCGCGGCCCCCAGGGGTGAGCTGGAGTCACACGGGCTCCAGCCCAGCTCCGTTTGTAGGGACAGCCCAGCTCTCCCAGTCCAGCCCTGCTCAACCCCAGCTCCTTCTTCTTTCATGGAGAAACTGAGGAAAAAAAAACATCAATAAATAAAGGAATGGGTCCCCAAGGGGTGCAGGGTCCCCTGACCACTGCCACCTCCTACCCCGGCCGTGAAGTGCCCGGTGTCCCCAGGGCTCCGTTCCCCCGGGAGATGTGCGGCAGCCCCGGGAGACGGCAGCGGGGGCTGGGGAATGCCGGTCCGGGAGCGTGAGCCGGGTACCAAACCCGCCGGGCCCTGGGAACCGGGAGCTGCTCCCTTCCCGAGCCCTCGGAGGCTGCAACCCAGCCCGGTGGGTTCTGTCCCGGTGTCCCGGTCCCTCCCTCGCCTCCTGCCCGGCGCTCAGGAGATGGGGAGCGGGGATCCGGAGGGACAAACCCCCTGCAAACGTGGCTGGGCTCTCCTGGCAGGGCGGGATTGCTCCCTGCATCCTCCCTTCCCTCCTCGTCCTCGCAGCCAGCCCCAGGCTCCCTTGGCTCGGGAGCTGCTGCAGAAGCATTTCTGGCCCTGCTCGGTGTCACCTCGGCCCGCTGGGCCCTGCCTGGCTCCGGAGGCACCGCGGGCTGTGGAGGGAGGAGCGGAGCCTTTCCCGTGCCCTGCGCCGTTCCCAGCTTCTCCCCCTTGTTTTGTGCCATTCCCAGCTTCTCCACTCATGATTTGTGCTATTCCCAGTTTTCCAGCCGTGTTTTATGCCAGTTCCAGTTTTCCACCTGTGTTTGTGCCATTCCCAGCTTCTTCCCCTTGTTTTGTGCCATTCCCAGCTTCTCCACTCATGATTTGTGCTCTTCCCAGTTTTCCCACCCGTGTTTGTGCCATTCCCAACTTCTCTCCCTTGTTTTGTACCATTCCCATCTTCTCTCCCTTGTTTTGT